ACTGAGAAAGATGGGTTCAATAATGTATACTGCATTGAAACAGATGAGGGAGAAAACTGTTTAAAAGGGATATGTGATTAGGTATTTTTGTCATGACAGGTGTCTAGAGCAAAAGCTACATGGTGGAGTGGACCTGGGGGAGGGTTTGTAAAACAATGAAAGAATTTTTGTTTTACTTTTACAAGAAGGTAGTGTACTAGGGGGGGAGGGATGGGAGGGAGGAAAAGTGCAACAATGAATGAATGGAAATCCAAATTCTCTGTAAATTTTTACTGAAATTAATATCTTTAAAAAAATAAATAGCAGGCAAAGCCTTTATAAGGAAAAAAAAGAAATACATAATATGTCTAATTATGTTTTAGAGACAGGAGAGAAATTACAACCCTAAAAACTTCAGCACCTCTTTTAATCTGAACGTCAGATTATTTCAAATAAAACTGCAAAATTACACTCTTCTTGGATTCAATATCAATTCTCAAAGAAAGACCTCCCAAGGACTTCTTATACCAAGAAATTAGGGTTAACAAAAAAATTACTGCTTCCCAGAAGGTGTACTTCTAGAAATTAACTTTTTTTTTTAAACTAGAAAACTGAGTAAAATGGACAAAGAAATCTTCAATCTTAATTTATTAAAATGGGTTCCTTCCTCCAAAAGCCAAAAGCTTATCTTTGCATTACTATAAATCTAATCATATTAATGAAGGTCTAATAAATAAATACATCTGAAAGATATTTAAAATTGAAAGATTTCATATTTTATTTACATGGGTCAGAGCCTTCTTATTAAAATGCCCTGGAAAAAAAATAACCTTTTTTGTTCTTGTATTATTTTTCAGTGGCAAAACTTCATTGTTCCTCTTCAGAAAAAATGATGCAGAGGCAAAAGGTCCTTTGCTTATAAGCAACACATCCATGAACTAAGGATAGCGGGTTATTCCTAAATCACATTTTTGATCCACATATGCATGTGCTGGAGACATTGAAAACTGTTTTCTTAGACGACTTTATGTAACCTAATAAAACACTTCCTTTCTCATTTGCGTTATCGTCTTCTTGCATTGATTCTGACTGCAGTGAGAGAAAGATTAGCTGTAGTATATCAAACTAACACAAAGCAACACCAATAACAAAAGTCTGGGAGGGTGGTGTGTTAGTGACGTGCTTCCAGACAAGATAGGATCTTTGTTCACACTTCCCTGACATTCATTTC